GGCAGTGTTCCAACAGAATGAGAGAGTCCAGGCAGTTTTCCAAATTCTCAGCCCTCCCTATGTTTATAAAACCTCCCATGTTTTGAAACACGTTGGCCAATGGCACCAGAAAGGGCAAAGCATGTGTGAAAATTTGTATGGTGGTGATGATGGCTGCTCTCAGCCAAAGGTACATGTTTTTTCAACTATAGATTTGAAAGCACTTCAGCTCACATTGTCACAAATTCTTTCTACTGATGTTTATTGCCTCATCTCTCTCTCTAAGCATTGAAAAAAGATGATTCAAACCAGCCACAAAATGAACTGTTGGTATAAAATTAAAACTTCCTATCCTTCTAAGTTTGAAAACCCAAGTCCACAATTGTCAACCTATGTGTTATGGTCTGTGTCTAGTTGTGCCTTTAGCTGAAGGCTGACTATGTGAGCATGTGCCACCCCTGTTTGCCCTCTCACCCAATGTGAAAACATGGAGTTGTGACTATTTGTTCACATTTACACAAGGAGAAGTGGCATTGCAATGTGTGCGTTGGTGGACACTGGTAGAAATAAACCAAAGTAAACATTTGTCAGCAAAGAGACCTCATCATGATCGGGGTCAAGCAATAGCCAAGCAAGGATGAGCAATGACTCAGTAAAAGACCCAGTTCTAAGAAAAGAGAAAAAGTAAAATTTCATTCCCTTCTGTTTTGTGTTGTTTGATGATTGATTGAGCAAGATGTTCGGCTGAACCATTCACTGAATGGTTAGCGCTGTGTGTGAGCAAGCAAGCTTATATTCTATTCCCAACACTCCTCTGAGAAGTTCTCCAATCTCGCCAACTATCTTAGGCTCTCTGTTTATTTTGCAAATTGGCACAAGCTTACCTAACCATTTACTCTCCAGATACAGAGCAATTTAATGAATCTCATGGCTGTTACTATAAGCTGAGATGCTCAGGTTGGGATGGTTGTTAAAGTGATGTGCGTGTGCTTGTCCCTAGTAGAGGAAGTACCACTAATCTGGCTGTTCATGAATAATACTGAGCACACACCTTCCCACAATCTCGTCTATTCTATCCCATGCACCAGAGATGTGCCACTAAGGAATTTTTGAACAAGGCTTTGCTTTGTTCCTTGCATATTTAATCTTCGTTTGACTTTGCAGCTCTATTCTGCTGTGAATGTTCAATTGGTGGGTTGTACCTGCTCGGTGCCATCCAAAGGTCAGCTGCTTGGAAGGGCGCTTTGAAGACAGCCACAAGGAGAAGAGACTGAGCAGGAAACTTGTCAGGTCAATTAAGAGGTGGGCAGCATCTGTGACAACAGCAAGACTCCCAGCAATATGCCCACCTGGGGGGTGCAGAATATTACAGGGGGTTAAGGAAATCCAGCGCGCAGTTAGAGTCATATACTTCTAAATGCACTTGATGAGGCTGTCCCAGACTCATAAAACTGTAGAAGAGAAAGTGTCTCAGTGTTGATTCAATCTACTTCTTCTTCCCAACTTGACAGTAAATTGAGACCCAGATAGTGGATAACATTGAAACATATAGAAAATGAATTTCAAGGGACAGGTCATTTTTAGGAAGCAAAATATAGAGCAAAATATAGAAAATATGGGGCACACTTGGAGATCATCCTGGTTAAACTGGGGCATAAGGACTGAAAAGAGGTAAAACAAGTAGAAGAGACTGGAGAGCTACAGGCCAGGTTTTAGGACTCCCGTGTGCCAGGTTGAGGACCTGGACTTTGCCTGTAAACAAGGTGTGGCAATCTGGTCCACTGTTTGATTTTGACTTTCCATTTTACCACATTCTTTAGCACTTCCATCTGCTCTGCTCATTTCTAGGATCCTCCTGAGCATGAGATCTCTGTTATGAATAGTGGGGCACAGCAAGGCCAGGGGAGGTGCCTTCCAAAGGGATTATTGCATGCACTAATCCAGTGCCACCTAGGATGAGAACTCAAGTCATGCCAGTTCCATCTTAGTATTTTTCACCATTTTTTGGTCCCCTTGCTCCCATCTGGTTCTCCTTTGAGAAAACACCTCTAGTCTGCAAAATAGAAACCAAGGAAAACCTTGTTTTTCTTCCCGTACACGGTTTGTTGTTCGGGAGAAATAACCTTTATTGCTCTTACTACATCTCAGCAGAGCTATCTGACTGATTGGTCCTCCCAGCAACGGTTTATTGCCTTGTGTACTACAAAGCAAAGGAGACTGTCAGTCATCAGCCCTCCATCATCAGACTCACCTTGTCTTGACTAATGATTAAAAAAAATTACATATATGTCTCATAATTGCAATAATCCCCACAGACTGCTGGCTCTAGCTGTAGTTAATAACCGGTTTGTCAAAGTTAATGGTCTGAAGCAAAGTAGTCCTCGAGCTTGTTACTGAGCTGTCAGTGCAAAAATCGGAATGATTCATTAGCCAAAAAGCAACATTTTGCTAACAAATCAGCTGTCCTTCCAATTATCCTCTAATGTTCCTCTAACTGCCAAACTTGGGTCTGATAATAAAGCTGTGTTAATAATGCATTATTTCTTGCCCAGAGAATGACTACATGCAGATAAGCAGTGCTCACAACCTCAGCAGTAAATGATGGTGATGATTCTATGAGTTGGGCTAAAACTGTAGCTTAAATCAAGGAAATAAAACCTTACAGAATTTCTTCAGCAAGCTCAGCTGAGTCAGGAGGAAACTGAGAAAGACAAAGGGGCTGGCTTCGTAGGAAGCATGTTAATATGGAGCCTGGGAACCGAGAACCATATCGCAACCATCAGAGCTGCTTACGAGATCAGTCCAGAACACTATGGGCAATCATGCCGAATCCCATGGAGCAAACTATTTGCAAGAAGCAGTTGGCACCTGAACATGCATTTGCTTCTAAGAACATGGGGTACTATTGACAATTAATTCAATCATCTAGTCAGTATTATTGTGCCCTTACTGTGAACAGCACCAGGACAGAGTAAACAAAGATAAACAAAGTTAAATAGATCACAGTACCTCTCTTCAATGGTCTCATTGTCTAATGTCCATGGCAACAAAGAGATGCAGCACAGGTTAGGGGATCAGAAAGTCATTCTCAGGGGGAGCATTGAAGAACTCTTACCGAAGAGAGGGTAAAAACTAATTAGAGTGAAGTGGTTTTGTTAGGGGGAAAAGGATGTCCCAAAGCTATTTCCATATACGCTTTGTGGACTCCACCCCCACCCCAGGTCAAAGCCAAAGACACTGGGAACTCCAAATCCCATCACCACCAAAGGGAAGGTGGCTGGGACCTGAGGGTGGGGTTCAGCAGCCAGGTGGATAGAAAAGGCAGACACGTGGGCTTTGGGGGACCCATTTTTGGGCTCTCCACCAGCTCGCAGCGTCCGGGCAGCTCTGAGAGTGACTTTGGGTTTCCAGGTCGTCGGATCGGGTAGGACGCATTAAAGACTTTATTTCCCTATTTTCTCCCTGAGTTGTACATTTTCCTTATTACCTTTCCTCTTGTAAATAAACCTTTTATTAACCTTTTTGTGTGTGTCTGTAGTAGAGTACTCATAAGTCCTTTAAAGCGCGGGTGAGGACCCACAGCCAGGAACCCGTTTAATATCGGGGTTGCTCTATAACAGTTTTACTTTTTTCCAAGAAAAGATATAAGCAGGAACAAAAAAAGAGAAATGAAAGACCATAGCTCCTTGGTGGAAGAGCAGGAGGTATGGAATGTTTGGAGGAATAATAGGAATGAGGTTAGATGGGTGGGTGGAGCAGACTCTTGCACGCCACGCTAAAGAATTAGAGTGTTATCCTATGAGTGTAGGGAATCTTGATGATTTAGAGGCAAGGTTGTGACATGTTCAGATCAGTATGAAGGGTGAGGTCTTTGCCAGTATTATGGAGGCAACTTGAAAGCAGGAGAAGCTGGAGGCTAAGACACAAATAGCTTTACTTCGCAGTAATGGCAAAGGAGATTGCATTCCAGGCATGAAGGAAGGCAGTAGCAGTTGTATTTCTGAAATTACTTGGCAAGGTCTAAAGCACAATGCATTTGTAACAAGTAGGATGGTGTGTGAAGAACTGAGTCCTGGAAACAACTCTACTTGGTGCCTGTGGGGCAAAAATGACAATAGGAAAGCCCAGGAGCCAGTGGACCAGGGTCGCATATTCGTGTCAAGTGTAGGTACTTTAAGGTACAATGATTGTTTTGCATAGAATGAATACACAGCTAAAACAAAGGAGTCTTGTAGGGTAGGAAAGTAGTAAAAAAAAAAAAAAAAAATTCAAGCATATCTAGTGGCCAGATGGTAGCATGACTGGAAAGCCAAAATAAGAATTTTTCATTTTGTCCAGGAATCCAGAGCTTCTCAATATATTAATCTCTACTCACTTGGGGCAACCTACAGGACCAATCACAGAGGAAGACCCTGACCTGTCTCTTCCTATTATTAGCATCCTTGTCAGCTTACCCCAAAGCTCAGTAAAATGTCCTCTGCTTGCCATGATGGGGGAAATGTTGTGAATTAGGCAAAGGGGAGCTATTGAAGAATTTTGAAGACAAAATTAACATGACGAGAGTAATGTTTTAGGAAAATCAGTTCGCTACCAAAGAAGTTAAAATCCCAAGTGATTATCTGTCAATAGCCACCTAATTCCATTACTGACAATACCACCTTTAGAACTCATAGGCAATAATTATTAGGAATGAGAAGTAAAAGAGTTTGATTTGCTCAATCAAAGTGAATAGTTTCCCATTTCACTTCTAAGACTATATCATTTGAAAAGCAAAATGACTTACCCTGGCCCTAGAAATTATGTGATATCACTTATTTTTTAAAGCTTTGACTAGATGGTAATAACCATCTAGTAATAACCATCAAATTACCAGCACTGAATTTGCCTTGGAAAGGATAAATTTAAGTACTTCTCTAGTTTGTAAAAGCTATGAAAATCTGATATATAGGCTTCTAGAGTCTATAGCTTGAAGAAACAAATTAATTTTGATTAATAGCTGTCAAAGTAATAATAATAACAATAAAAATAGCTTAGCATATTCTGTTTTTTTCTAGACTCAGATTATTTTAATTTTAGCCCTCTTTGGGGCAATAAATAGAAAATGAAGTCAAAATATTGGTAACATTGTAATGGGTAACATTGGGAGCTATTGTAAATAATACTGTAATAAACAGAGTTGCAGGTTTCCTTTCAAATTAGTGTATTTTGTGTTCTTTGGGTCGATTTCTAGAAGGAGAATAGTAGGGTCATATGGCAGATCCATTTCTAGTGTTTTGAGGAACCGACAGAGATAAATCTTGAAAGCTGACCTTAGATATGAGGTAAGCAGGAGGGGGAAGGAGGAGAAGTGGGGTTGGGAGGGGTGAAATGTGGGAGAGGGTCAGGGAAGGGCACAGGGAATATGGTGATGGACTATGGTGCTTTTGTGGTGGAAGAACTGCAATGACCACAGCTGAGGGGAAAAATTATATAGTGTCCCAAAATTAACAAGAACAATGTAAGAAAAAGTACCAGATTTAAATTTTTTTAATGATAATAATAAATGGCTCTGTCTGTATTAAAACAAATACATAAACTAATATACCAAAACTTTGAAATGAGAGATGTAGACTATTTTGTTAAAAGGAGAGATACCATATTCGTAGGGTGGGTGTGGGGAAGAACTGAGTATTTTAAAGACCTTTGTGTTCCCAAATTAAATTATATTCTAATAAAATCAAAATTATATTTTTGATAGAACTGGACAAAATGATTCTCATGCTTAATTACAATGGTAAATAGGAAAGAATAGCCTTGCCTTTCTCCAGTTAAATGAAGAATAATGAGGAAAGAACAGCAGCTATCGTAACATATAAATTTACATTAATTAAATATATTATTGCTGACAGAAAGCATTTCAGTCTATCTGCCTGTTCTGCTCCCCACTCTGTCTCTGGTGAATCCTTTCACCTCCCACACCTCTGGCCTGTACCCCAGTCCTTATATGCATAAAATAAGTAAATTTTTAAAAAGTTTCTGAAATCTATTTGATGGTATGGCCAATAGCATTAAGCATGTTGCAAAAAAAAAACAAACTGTGAGAGATGAAGAGAAATAAAAAGTGTCCAACAATACTTCATGATGTCATTGGAGGTGATGACTCAAATGTGTGCTAGTGACTAATAATTTTATTTTGCTTCCATTTTCAAACTTATCTACAATGACCGTGGTTTTATTTTATTCTTACAGAAAATATTAAATCTTACTTTCAAAGAAGAACCTAAGCAATGTTTCTGTGATGATGCAAGGTTTTGTCAATTGTTCAGTCAGAGAAGTTTCTTGAGACTCACCCACGACCTCCGCGACCATGAACACGAAGCACACCGCGGAGGCTGCGCAGAGCTTCCACTTGGCGCGGTTTTGCTCGTTGGCCCTCCTGTCCGTGGCCTTGGAGTCGCGATGGCAGTGATAGATGGCTCCTGACTCCAGCTCCTCTGGCATCTCTCCAGGACATTGATCTTTACTGGAGGGTTTCTGCTGGAGTTCTACACTACAGATGAGTTTGACAGAAGCAAGAAGTGAACCTGGCTGCAAACACACACCGCAGTGGCAGCCCTACCCATTCTAGAAACCACTATTGGGACGTTTGCTAACTAGCTAGGAAGTTATTATTCACAGCTCCTTCCACAGAAATAACAAGTGTAAGGAACAAGCATGAAATTTCTTTCTGGATTCTCAGCTCCCCAAAGTTTTGCTTGTATTCCGTCAAGTTCTTATTCAGTCTATAGCACCAGTGACTGGAGAGCTATCAAAGAAAAAGGGAGAGGAGACACATACACTTTCCTTCCCTAATGTTTCACTTAGAAAAGATTTTGGACAAATCTTTTTGTGCTACAGATTAAAAGGGGAGGGGAGTGTTAGATATGTTTATATGTGCCAGTCTGGTTACTTCTTATTGCACACAACATTATTAATAGATCATAGTGCTTTTTCTTGCTAAGTCAGTACAGACCCACAGAAATCTTCCTAGCACAGCTTGGCAGATTATCTCTAGCAATCATGCAAAATTATGAGTTGAAACTTATACTTCCTAGAGCAGAGCGTGAAGATCAGTTCTGCTGAAATACAAAGGATTATAGAGAAAGATTTATAAGATTATGGAATGTCACAGGTGGAAAGATTATAGATAACATTTAGTCCAGCCTCATAGTTTCTCAGCTGAAGTAGTCAAAAGTCCCAGTGATAAGTTATTCCCTGAGGTCAAATAGCTAAAAAAATAACTAAGCTGGGATGTCAAACCTAAAGGTTTTTCCTTTATGTGAGTACTGTCTCCCTGCCTGAACATCAGTCGGTATACCCAACACCACGCTTTCCTGATGCAAATGTCAAAGCCCACAATCCTGAACTAATCAGATTTTTTATTTTTAAATAAGCAGTAAAGAAGGCATTAATTAGATTCTTAGAATTAGGTACTTTGCACTCATGGCTTTGAAAGGTATAAAAGGAAATGAATTAGCTTTCACCAGAAGAGTTATTTCATCTGTCTCATCAGCAGCCAGAATGAAAGATGGATGGCTTTGGCTTACATGATGATTATTAATATGACTCTAATTATCATTATCTTTGGGTTTTCTGAATAAAATAACATATTTCTTATAGAAAACCTAGCATTACAGAAAAGTATAAAAAAGGAGAAAACCACTTGTAAACTTACCTGCCGTGACATCTTTCATTGATATTTTATTGTCTCATTTCACAATATAAGGATACCAGTTAGAATTTGGGCGGGGGTCTTTCTATTGCAAATAAAAAAAAAAAACCTCATGCTTGATGAATTAATAATGGAATGTTACTGGTAGGATTATTGGGCTGTCAAAAAAGCCATAATGCATTTTTGCTTGAAAAACACAGAAAAAATATGTCATGGCTTTTCTGACAACCCGATATTTGTTCTGTAACTGACAGTTTGTAGAGGTATCAGTCTTCAGGCTGATTTATCAGAGCTTCAGATCTGTTGCTTCGAGGTTCTCAGTATGCCTCAACCTCAGACTGGTTTCCTCATGGCAGTGAATTGGTTGCCTGATATAATCAGGTTTAGATATTGCTTTTTCTTAAGCAGGAAGAGAGAGTGTCTCTATACCCTCATGATAAACAAGGTTCCTTGGGGAGCACACTGATTTGGTCAGTGGGAGCTACCCTCTGTAGTCTCAGGGATATGAATGGGCTAAGTAGATTAGACCTTGTTTCAATCAGAAGATTGGCTAAACCCACCGTGCTGACTCCTAAAGTGAGGAAGAGGCTACTGCATAGCTCAGAAGGAAAGGCCTGGAATGGATTGTGGCTGAAATGACAGCATCAGGACTTTACCAAAGATACAACTTGGGAACTGAGACTTAGCTATGTAGTTTGTTAACTTTTTCTGTTTATTGAATCTCCTATTTCATTACTTTTGACATACAGGGAGCATTTATTCAACATAGTCAATACAGATATGTCATAACTTAATAAACTGATTTCCTATTACTGGACAATTCATTCTTTCCCAATTATTTGTTCTTAAATACCTAAACACTGCTATGATTTATCTCCTTATAGTTAGTCTTTGTTCAATATATTATCTACTTAATATGTAGTCCTAAACGGAAAATTACTAGGTCAAAGTATATCTACATGTTTAAGAATTTTGAGGTATCTTGCCAAATTGCCTTTGGGGTATTTGTACCATGATGTTAATAAACTCAGGATTTTGAACCATTTCCAATGACCTTCTTTGTTAGAATAAGCTATTGGCAATAAGCAAGGAGAGTAAATTTACTTTTAAATATTGCTTCTCTGTCTTGGACTCTAAGATTAACCAGTATATCTAGATCTATATCCATATCTATATCTAAAGTGTATGTATACTTTATCTAAAGTATATGTATACATATACTTTGAACTGAGGTTGCTCCTTATGGCATAGAGTCAGAAGTGCAAAAGTGGGCTTCAGAGTGTCGTGTCATGTGGAGATGTATTTATATGTATGTGCTTCATGCAGGGAACCAAGAACCTACAGTCTTACTGGGCTCCAAGAAGAGTCCAAAAGACCTTGAAATATTGAATACATTCTCTATCTTCTCATTAGAGCAAACCTGTCTAAGTACCTCTAGATGCAGAATAAGCTTGTGATCTAAAATATAGT